CACACTGCAGTTTGCACAGTAGAAGTGTTACGTTCATTATTCTTGGGGCATCCAAAATTGCCCACGCAGCTGCATTTTGTATCAGTTGAAATTTCTGGATATTATTCCAGGGTGGCCCCATATAGAATACAAAAGAGAGCTTTTGCTCCAGTTCTTAGCTGTGCTCCAAGACTGAGGCTGACTTGACTACTTAGATCAGGGATCTCCAAACTTGGCAACTTTGAGACTTGTGGACTTCAACTCCCAGAATGCCCCAGCCAGCATGGCTGGCTGAGGCATTCTGGGAGTTGAAATCCACAAGTCTTAAAGTTGCCAAGTTTGGAGACCTCTGGCTTAGATGCACAGGGTACCTGTAAAAGGAGTGAGGGAGTTATTAAGCATTTTAAGGAAGGTAAACAAAAGAATGTAGACATTTTTTTTTTAAAAAAAAAGGCAAGAATACTAAGAGGATAAAATACAAATAGTAGAAAAAAAATTCAAAATTTGATGACTCTCCAATATACCTTGCTGTTATCTAGTCAATATTTCAGCCTAATTACGTTGGCCATAATAATTCTACTGATTTGCTTCATGGTATGATAACAATTTCAAGTCAAGTCAAACTCAGCTCCTAGTTATAACAGACAGCTCCAAGTACTTTATTTGGTAATAATATATTTAGCACAGTCTTTGTATTTCCTAAACTGGAGAATTAGGTATGATACAAAGTATTGAAATCAACTGATCAGTCAATAAACATGTAAGCAAGCAAACAAAGAAGCAATAACCAGGTCCAATATTGAGGAGTCCTTAGTGCTCTTTGAACCTGGTTATTTTGCTGCAGATGTTCCCTTACCCAAACTAGGTAACTCCACTGATGATGTTACCTAGTTTAGGTAATAAAACATCTGCAACAAAACAACCAAAGCTCAGAGAGCACCAAGGACCCCTCATTTCAACCCTGAGCTACAGATATTCTCCTTTATAGGTCAGTACAGCTTAAGTTTTTTTGAGCTAAACAATGACTCGTGGTATACTAATAAACAAAATCACAGTTCAGCTAAAAAAAGGGCAAAATAGCTCTGTTGATAAATAAATGTCAGTGACCAGAGGAGCAAGTGGGTTGAAAACAGCATTGAAACCATGTGAATTACCTTCATCCAGGACCTTTTCCCCAGATTACTGTCCCTTTAATGTGACAACTGAAATTATAAATCATCTTCAGCTTTGTCTGCAAAAATACATACATAGAGTCAAGTATTCCAACTGAAATCTCAACTATCTAAATCAGTTCCAAATGGAAAACAGAACATTTCTGGAAAAGCAACAAGAATAGCTTACTTAAAATGCAGCTGTGTATTTTATGAATATGTATTATCTCCTCTCTCATAATCTGTCCTGGATTCTCACATGACTTTTTTTCTGTCTTGTTCCTCTACTCATTGAATATTCCAATAGTGCCAGGAAAAATAGAATAAAACCAAATTGTCAAAATATTTGAATTAAAAATGCACTCATAAATACTATTGTTCAAACCAGATACTTTTCACGTAAACAATCATTTATGCAAGCAAATAGGTCAACATCATGAGTTGCTTGAAAATAGTGAAAAGTGAGGATGAAAGCAAACTAGATCTCATGTCAAAACAAAACAAAACTTGGAGGAATCCCTCTGGACAAATGAAATGTTTCTCTTCTGCTTATGTCAGTTCTCAGTCTCAGTACTGTTCCTATTAATAACTAATATGTGACATGATGTTTCAACAGATTTATCCATTGCAAGAGTTAATGATGTGTCTCCCTACAGCACAGACTGGAAAAGAAGGTCAAATCAGGGTCTATAAGTTGTTTTGTTTTTTTGTTTTAATGAAACCAAGAACTTTTGTAATCTCCACATCTGCTGCAGCTGCCATAATTGAGGAACCACTGAGGTTTTTCAAGTTCCTTCTATTCACAAAGCATCCCTTTTGAGCCAGCTTTTCAATTAGCATCTCCCACTCTTCCTCGGAACAAGAGCATGCTTTTCTTTTTCCTCTCTCTTGTGCAATAAAAAACTCCAGATATTTC